AAAAAAAAAAAAAAAAAAAACCAAAAAATAAAGAAGCCACTGGGCTGATTCCCAGGTGGGCAAGGGCACAGGGGAGTGTAGTACGGCCACCGCCGCTCCACAGTCCACAGCCCACACCCACAGAACGCAGTGGGGCCGCTGCGGCGATGAACCGAGTCTTGTTTGGTTTGTTTCTTGAGACGGGCGTGAGGTGAACGGTCTTCCTGTATCTTGGCGTTTTCTTTTTCCTTCCGAGCCACCGGTTCACAGCCTCTGTCCGCGCCGTCTTTTCTCCTGTGGGTTTGTGAGGGTGCGTCTGTCAGTGTTGAAGACACGGGACGCCCGGGCAGCAGAGCTGGGCTGGGGGCTTGGGGCTCCTCTGTGGTTGGCCATGTGCCTGCCAGGGATGTGGGAAACCAGCGAACGGAGCTATAACCACAGTATCGAGAAAGCCAAAATATTAGGTCTTGGAATCGAGGTGGAGGCAGGATGGAGGGAAACTGAGGCTCAGGACACCAAAGGATAAGGGAGCCACGTGGTATTTCCAAGGCTCCGTGTGTCCAGGAGCCCTGACTGGCGTGGTATCCAGAGAAGTGTCAGGCTGGGCTGGCTGGGGCAGCACTGGAGTGCGGTCCGCCGGGGACGGGCGTGGGGCCTATACCAAGGCCCTGGGGAGGTGAGCAGGCGAGCAGTGCCACCTCAGCTGCCCCGTCCGGGCTCGTGAGACACCACACCGCCTGGGGGAGGTGTGGCCAGGCCAATCTTGTGGGCACCCCGGGTCTCTGGGTGGAGTCTCCCCTTGGTGTACCTCCCTGGGGCTGCCCCCCAAAGCATCAGAGCCCAGGTGGGATGGAGGCGCAGCTGGCGACCCCAAAGGGCCAGACTGAACTGTGGGTTCCAATCACACCAGGAAGCTCAGAGCAGGCTCACACCTGTGGACCAGCACCGTCCCCTGGCCGCTTTCTCCCAGCCACGCAGGCTGTGGCTTCTACCCCCCTCCTGCTGCTTCTTTTTAAAGGTTAAGGGGTGGGGGTAAGAAACCTGCACTGAGAGCCAGTGGGAGGGATGGGAGGTGGGGTGGAGACCTGCACTGCCGGCCAAACACCAAAGCCAGGCTGGCCTCCCCGCCCTGTTGCGGGCAGGTCTGGAATTTGAGCCCCGCCCTGAGCGGGGAGGGCCCTGCCTGACTGCTCGGTAGCTGGGAAGGGGCGGCTCCCCCAGGTGGGCCTACCACCCTTGCAATGCTCCGGTGCTGCAGATGGGGAACTGAAGCTAGGCTGGGCACCATTTCTCCTGCTCACCCACACCCACTGGTTTTCTGGGCTAGGAGCCCTGACAAGGGGTATTTGCCGAAGGCAGAGCCATAGGGCAGGTTCTGAGCTAGGTTCACGGTGGAGGTGGTCCCGACCCAGAGCCACCCCCTCCCCAGGTGACACTCCCTGCACCCTTCTGGCCTGTAGGTTCTCCCTGTGCCCCGCCCCCGGTCTCCACCCACCACGCTGGCTGCCAGCACACTCCGCACTGGGTGGGTAGATCTCTGTGTGCACCAGACTCAAGTCCAAGGCAGCCCCCCACACCATTCCCCCACCCTGAGGTCACACCCTGAGGCTCAGATACCCCAGGGCCAGGCTGGTGTTGCTCAGGCAGCCAGCTCTGCGCGCTGGGCAGCTTCATCTGCCCGCCTAGGTGGCTCCACGGGGCGGGCCCTTGGCCAGGGAGGGCGGGGCGCACAGGGAGACTTAAAGAGCGACCCAGGTCCCCACCCGGGCCTGACCGCGCAGCTCCCACCATGGCGGAGACCAAGCTCCAGCTGTTTGTCAAGGTGCAGGGCAGACTGAGCTGCAGGGAGGGTGTCTGGGAGGGGGTGCTCTTCTGGCTTTGCTTTCTGGGGCAGGTTGTGGGGTGGGCCTCCCCAGTAATGTCTGAGCCCCTTCCTGTGGGTGGCTAAGGGGACTCGGGCAGCCCTACATAGGCTGAGTAAAGTGGGACCCAGAAAGTCACCCAGAGAGGGGTCCAGTGGCCCTGGTCCTGCTCCCAGCCTTGGCTCCTGGGCCCAGCCCAGTCTTCCGGAGGAGAGCCCCTTGGTGGGGAGGTACCAACCCGGCTGCCAGTGGTGGAGCTTAAGGTCAGTGTTCCAGGATTGGGGGTGCTGGGCCAGGCAGCCCCATCAGCTTTCAGGTCGGGGACTGGCGTGTGGGGGCTGGTGTGCTGCTGGCCACAGCGCCCAGTCTCGTGTGTGAATCACTCAGAAAACAGCTTGTGGGGCCTACCCCACCCCTGCAAGCAGCTTTTGGGGACTGAGCCCAGGGGCCTGGCCTGTCCAGGCTCTGATAAGATTCCAGTGGCCAAGCCCGCTCCAGGTTTCAAGGCTCCCAGCAGCTCTGCGTCCCTCCCCATGTCCTGGGGACCAAGTCAAGGGCCCTTACTGGGCACTTGGAAGTCGCGTCGACCAAGCTGGAGCTCTGGCGTCCCTCCAGTCCCGCTGGCAGTGGGAGGCGGGTCCCGCCCAGCCTGGTGGCAGGATGCCTGGGTCTGCTCCCAGCCCTGACCTCCCCCCCACCACCGCCCGCCACTCCACCCACCCAGGCGAGTGAGGATGGGGAGAGTGTGGGTCACTGCCCCTCCTGCCAGCGGCTCTTCATGGTCCTGCTCCTCAAGGGTGTACCCTTCACCCTTACCACGGTGGACACGCGCAGGTGAGGCGCCACCCTGGGGACCCCTGCCTGGCCTCACACACTGGTGAGCCGGCCTCCTCCCACCCTGCTGCTGCCCACAGGTCCCCGGACGTGCTGAAGGACTTCGCCCCCGGCTCGCAGCTGCCCATCCTGCTTTATGACAGCGATGCCAAGACAGACACGCTGCAGATCGAGGACTTTCTGGAGGAGACGCTGGGGCCGCCCGAGTGAGAGCCTGAGCAGGATGGGAGGGGAAGAGGGGGCGCCCAGGGAGGACGCGCACAGGACAGAGCCCAGGAAGGCGCTGTGGGGTACTGTGGGGCCGGGACGGGGCTGCCCCCATTCTGATGGAGTCTCTCACCCCCTCATCCCGCAGCTTCCCCAGCCTGGCGCCTCGTTACAGGGAGTCCAACACCGCTGGCAACGACGTTTTCCACAAGTTCTCCGCGTTCATCAAGAACCCGGTGCCCGCGCAGGACGAAGGTGAAGCGTGGTCAGGGGGTTGGATGCCCAGGCGGGAGGGCGTCCTGGGCCAGGTCCTCACCTCGCCGCCCGCCCCTAGCCCTGTACCAGCAGCTGCTGCGCGCCCTCGCCAGGCTGGACAGCTACCTGCGCGCGCCCCTGGAGCACGAGCTGGCGTTGGAGCCGCAGCTGCGCGAGTCCCGCCGCCGCTTCCTGGACGGCGACCGGCTCACGCTGGCCGACTGTAGCCTACTGCCCAAGCTGCACATCGTCGACGTGAGCGCGGAGGGAGGGCGGGGGGGCAAGCCCGGCGCGCTGGGGGACAGCAGGTCCTGACCGCGCCCCGCGATCCTGCCCGCAGACGGTGTGCGCGCACTTCCGCCAGGCGCCCATCCCCGCGGGGCTGCGTGGCGTCCGCCGCTACCTGGACAGCGCGCTGCAGGAGAAGGAGTTCAAATACACGTGTCCGCACAGCGCCGAGATCCTGGCGGCCTACCGGCCCGCCGTGCACCCCCGCTAGCGCCCCACCCCGCGTCTGTCGCCCAATAAAGGCATCTTTGTCGGCAGTGAGGGTGTCCTGACATCTGAGGAGTCTCGTGATCACTTCCCATCCCCAAACCCCAGGGTGGGACGCTCAGCCTGAGAACGCAGAACCACAGGGGCAGGAGAGCCGGGGGTCGGGCAGGTCCCATCCTCCATGTTAAGAAAGCGCAGACTCCAGGTCTCCTGCAACCGGTGGCCTCAGGGATCTCCAGGACCGGATTGGGCTCCCAAACCAGTCAGGCCGGGGTGGGGCGGGGTGCCCCAGGTGGATAGGGGCTGGTACATTCCTCAATCCTGTCCGGGGGCAGGCACTCCCCTCCCCGCAGGGCACTTCCACAGCATCTCAGAGTCTGCACAGGCCTTCTCCTGTGTGCATCCTCCTACGGGGCTCCGTGCCCTGCCTGGGTGCAGCCTGGGAGGGTGGGAACAAGGTTCTAAGCCTTGGGGAGCCCTGGCCCTGCCTGGCTGGGCCCCTCTCAGCTCCTGGGCTGGCAGGGCTGGAATAGCTGGACGGTCTGAGAGTGCTCACCTCCCTCCGGCCCAGCAAGGAAGTCTCCAGGGAACTGAGATGCTGCAGCATCTGTTCACATCCTGTGGCCCCACACCCAGCGTGCAGGCCCAGGGGCATTCCCTGATCCCTTCCCAGGCCAGTGCCAGGAGTCAGAGCCCCACCAGAGCCTCCAACAGAGGGAGCGGTTTATTTGACAGGGAAGGAACTTGAGGAGACGCCTTAGTCCTGGCCCAGGACAGGCAGGTGGAGGTGGTGGTGTGGGGGGGGGTCTCTGATGAGGGCCTCGAAGACTGCCTGTCCCCTCACAGGCAGACTCCCCGTGGGGCCACACTCATGCTGCACCTTCAGGTCTCATCAAAGTCCACGCCACCAGCTGGTTTCTTACTGAGAAGGAAGAGGGGTGTTACTATGGCACTATGGTGTGGAGAAAGGGGTGGGGTCCAGGGTTGGACCCTGGGTGCAGGAAGGGGCCGGTGGGCGGGTACCTCTTGAACCCAGGGTTGATGAGCGACTCTCCTGGACACCGCCTCCTGACCCCAGGTCCAGGGCCACCTCTCTGGGGATCTGGGTCTGTGGGAAAACAGGATGGGGAGGCTCCTGAACCTGGCAGCATCCCAGCCACAACCTTCTCTGAATAGGCAGGCATTCTCTCTGGAGCATGAGGCTTATTCAGGGGAAACTGAGTTCCAGATTAAAGCGCACATCCCTACTTGAGTCACAGGTGTACATGCCTTACCTGGTAAGAAGAGCTGAGGCCCTGCAGGCCGGGGACTCTTTCTGGGGCTGGCAGCTGTCTCTTCTGCAGCTGGGGAGGAAAGCCCATGGGAACCCCACTGAGTGCCAGGAGTGGGGGCAAGAGCAGGGGACCCCAGTGAAGGTATGAGGTGCCCACCCCCAATCCTACCTGCCAGTCGCCGCTCCAGGCTCCACACGCGTTTTGCCAGGCCCAGTGTCAGCGCCTGCAGTCTGGAGGCTGCCTCTGGGCCGGGTACCTTGGAGAGGTCAAAGGCCAGTGCCGAGGGGCCCCCTGAAAGGGTCAGGGATGCTCTGTCCTCCTGCAGGATGAGAGCCACAGCTTGCTGCTCACAGGCTGCCCTGGAAGAGGAGAGGTGCTGAGAGCTGTGACAGACCCTCCTCCTCCCCACCCACCTTCCTCCCTGCTTGGATCTCACCTGAACCGGGGGGTGATGTCCTCAGCCGCACTCAGACCAAAACGGGCTTTCTAGAGAGCACAGGTGCTTGTCACCAGCTGCCTGGAACCCGAGATCCACTGGGAGCACCCGAAACCTGCCCGACCCCAGAGCCACTTGGGACCCCTAGCCAATGTGAGGACTACAGCTACAGGGCGGGCAGAGGGTGTGAGAGCCTTCTGGGGAATCCCAGATGTCGGTCACCCCAAACACGATCTGGACTGCAGGGAGGGGTGTGGCGGCTCCCAGACCCGCCCAGTTACCCACGAGGGCCGCCAGGCTGTCCGGCGTGAAGCAGGTGCTCCAAAGCTCCGCGGCGTCGGTCACGCTGGGGGAGAGGGCCTGTCAGGCGGGGCCGCCCGCGCAGCTCCCCGCACCCCTATCTCCCCGCGGACCCCCCACTCACTAGAGGTTGAAGCCGCCACCGTCCCCCTCCCCGCTTCCTTCCCCTTCGCAGTAGCACACGAAGCGGGGCGGCTCGGGGCCCGGCGGCAGCGTGCAGAGCGGCGGCGACAGCGGATCCATGGCGCCCGGTGAGCGGGAACCCGGCGGGGCGGGGCGGGGCTAGGGCTAGGGCGCCGGGAGGGGCGGTGCTCTGCGGACCCAGGGCTCCTGCGCGGAAGAACGGCTTCCGGAGCCGGGTGCAGGCCAGTCGCGGGCTTAGGGAGCTTGCGCGGGGCGGAGTCTGACTGGGGGCGGGGTCTTTAGGTGGAGGCGGGGTTAGGGGGTTGGGTTAGGGGCGGAGCTAAAGGCACAGGCCGGGCCCGGAGGACCCGGTACCCACGCAGGCTTCAGGCGACTAGAGGCCGGGTTTAGTGCGCGGGGTGGGCCGGAGCAGGGCGTCCTCGGTCAGCGATCCAGAGGCCCTGCCCCTAGCGCTGACCTCGCCGGGCATGGGCTTCGCGGCGGGATCCTGGGCTCTGGCCCTCGCGCCCGCGAGCAGCCCCACTCGAACCTCGCCCCCTCCCGCTCCCGCCCTGGCTCCACGTCCACCCGAGTCCGGGTTCCCTCCGTGGCGCTGCGGGCACATCCTGGAGCCCCGCCCTCCCATCGTCTTCACACACCAACGGGAAGCTTCCTAACCCTCATTGTGAGAAGTTATGGTTGGCCCAGCAAGGTGACTCACGCCTGTAATCCCAGCACTTTGGGAGGCCAAGGCGAGCAGATTGCCAGAGTTCAGGAGTTCGAGACCAGTCTGGCCAACATGGTGAAACCCCCTCTCTACTAAAAACACATAAAAATTAGCCGGGTGTGGTGGTGCACGCCTGTGAGGCAGAGGAATTGCTTGAACCAGGGAAGTGGAGGTTGCAGTGAGCCGAGATCACGCCACTGCACACCAGCCTGGGCGACAGAGTGAGACTCCGTCTAAAACAAGCGAAAAAAGAAGTCACAGTACAGAGTGATCCCCAGGGAAGAAGACTTGTGTGCTCTCTGTCCTGCCCATGGTATTACTCCAGCTCCTCCTACGTGCCTGTTGTCCTAGGCCTGGACATCAATCAACAGACAAGGTCTCTGACTCCCTGGAGCTTGCAGGATCCAATAGGAGAGACACCACACTCTCAGGCAGGGCCAAGCGCCAGGAGAAACTGCAGCGGGTGCTATGAGGACAGGAGGAAGAGGATGGCTCCCACCAGGGACAGGGAGATCCCACGCAGAGGCCTGGCCACATAAACAACAGTTCTGTTCAAGGCTTGGCAAGAAGGCCAGGTTGGCAGCATGGTGCTGTGGGGAGGGTCAGTGGCGTTGTAGGCTATGCTTCTGTATGGGAGTGCTCCCACAGCAAGCCTGCCTCACCTCCTCCTGCCTCCCAGTTCACTCCCAGTCCTGGCTCCTGCACCCTGGGTCTCTGCACATGCTGCTGTTTCTGCCTGGCACACCCTTTCCCCAGATTCACATGCTTCCTTCGGGTCTTTACTCAAAAGTCACTTCAGCGAGCCCTTCCCTGGTGTTGTTCTGACATTTCAGCACGCTGCCCAGCTCTCACGTCCCGCTCTCCTGTCATTTTCTTATTTTTCACCCTTCTCATTGTAGAAAGTACACTTTGGCTTGCTTTATTCTGGCAGTTAGCCCCCTGTTATACCCTCCTGGGTTTAGACCTTTCTGTACTCCCCTCGCCTTGGGCTGGACTTAATTAACAACTTGCTTCTGGCAACCAGAATAGGACAAAATTGCTCTTGAATTGCTGGGTGTGACAAGAGGCAGCCCTAAGGGGATGCCGATGGCCAGCAAGGGAGCTGGGAAGCTGACGCCCCAGCTGAGCCTTACTATGAGACCACATCATCGGCTGGCAGCTTGACCACAGCCTCCTGAAACTTTGTGCCAGAAGCCCAGAGTCCTGCCCTGCTGACACTAGGAGATAACGCACTCCTGCTGGGTTAAGCTGCTGCATTTGGGGTAACCTGTCACTCTGCAGTAAGTGACCAGTACACTTATTTATCCTGCCTATTGTCCATCACCCCAGGAGGTCCATGAGGACAGGGATTTCTGTCTGTTTTACTGCCAGTGTATCTGTCTTTTCAGCACTTACACAATGTCTGGCATGTACAGACACTGAATAAACATTGTGAATGAATGAATGAAGGGGGAGTGGCGGCTGTTGGAGGTTTAAGCAGGGGTGGATGGGAAGTGGCACGACTGACTTATGTGTGTGAAGTCCGTATTCTGTGCTGTGAGGAGAGAGGACGGGAGGCTGCAGAGGTGGGGGAGAGGGGTGGACCATGAGCTCAGAGTGGAGGTGGAGAGAGGAAGAGGCAAAGAACAATCAAGGATGGCCCCGGCATTTGGGAAGAGAGGAACGGGGAGATTCATCCCCAAGATGACTGGGGTGGGGCAGATTCGGAGAAGATTGGGGGGCCTCTACTTTGTCATGTAAACTCTGAGATGCTGGCTGTAGTAGGCCCCAGGTATCAGGCCCTAATCCTTGGGACCTGTGAATACTATTATTTATGGAAAAGGCTGGGCACTGCATTCCAGCCTGGGCAACAGAGTGAGATCCTGTCCCCCTCCCCGCCCCCAAAAAAAAGGAAAGAAAAGAAAGGGGTCTTTGCAGATGTGCCCTTGAGATGGGGCGATTATCCTGGATTACCCAGGGAGGCCCTCAGTGCTATCTCAAGGGCCTTATAAAATTGAGGCAGAGGAAGCCTTGAGACAGAAAAGAAGGCAGTGTGGCATGGAGGGAGGAACTGGAGCAATGCAGCCCCAAGCCAAGGATTACAGGCTGCTATCAGAAGCCAGAAGAGGCCAGGCCCGGTGGCTCATGCCTGTAATCCCAGTGCTTTGGGAGGTTGGAGTGAGAGGATTGCTTGAGGCCAGGAGTTCAAGGCCAGCCTGGGCAAGACAGCAAGACCCATCTCTAAAAAGAAAACATTAGCCAGGCATAGTAATGCATGCCTGTAGTCCCAGCTACTTAGGAGGCTGAGGCAGGAGGACTGCTTGAGCCTAGGAGTTCAAGGCTTCAGTGAGCTGATTGTGCCATAGTACTCTGGCCTGGACATCAGAGCAAGCCTCTGTCTCAACAACATCCACAACAACAACAAAAGAGAAGACAAAGAAGCTAGAAGAGGCAAGGAGGGATTCTCCCCTTGAGCCCTCAGAGGGAGCACAGCCCGGTTGATACCTTGACCCTAGTAAACTGATTTTGGACTCTGGCTTCAAGCTACAAGTTTGTGATAATTTGTGGCAGCCGTAGGAACTAACACAAGACCAGAAACAAAGATTAGTTACAAAACATGACAAGAAAACTGCAAAACCTTCATTTCACTAGCCTCAGGCCGGGTCTGTGTGGACCTCAGGTGTTTATTTTACGCTTTGGCTCACATCCTAGTGTCATGTCCTGTTTCGTGGCTCACATCGGGCCAGTTTCAGCTACTGGCAGCTTTTGCATTGGCTTCCACGTCCTTCTCTGCAATACTTTTTTTTTTTTTTTTTTTTGAGATGGAGTTTTGCTCTTGTTGCCCAGGCTAGAGTGCAGTGGTGCTATCTCAGCTCACCACAACCTCTGTCTCCCGGGTTCAAACGATTCTCCTGCCTCAGCCTCCTGAGTATCTGGGACTACAGATGCCTACCACCACACCTGGCTAATTTTTGTATTTTGTAGTATAGACGTGGTTTCTCCATATTGGTCAGGCTGGTCTTGAACTCCCGACTTGAGGTGATCCGCCCGCCTTGGTCTCCCAAAGTGCTGGGATTACAGGCGTGAGCCACTGCACCCGGCCGTGGGAGCAATTTTCTTTAACGCAAGATACATTAATACAGTGTATGAGATACAAGGTTAGTGGAGCTTTGCAAACAGAAGGGGAGGGACTACGAAGTCTGCACACATACACTTGGAGTCGGTGATGGAGGCAGAACAGGGGAGGGAAAGGGCTGACCTGGCACCCAAGGCATAGAGCACCTGGAAGCTGGGCCGAAAAGAGGAGCAAAAGGTACGGAGAATGACTAGGGGAGTGGGGGCCAGTCAAGGTTCGGGGTAGCAGAGGTCAAGAACCAAGGGAGGTATTTGAGCAAGACTTCAGAGACGGAAGTGAGTGGGCTGAGTGGCTCTGGGAGAAGGGCAGTCTGGGCAGGGGTGACCTGGGCAAAGGCCCTGAGACACGCAAGGGGCTGGCAGCAGGGTGGAGGGAGAGGCGTGGATGGTGGGTCACAGGAAAGCCTAAAAGAAAAGACCTTGCTGGCCACCGTCAAGACCTGGGCCTTTACTCCGTGCGATGGGACCCACTGTGGGGTGTTGAGCAGGGGTCCTGATCTGACACATCTTGTGAATCCATCCCCTGGGCTTCTGGATGGAGAACGGGCTGAGCGTGGGAGGCGAGGGACTCGATGCATCCAGGGCTGAACTGCAAGGCATTGGGGGCTGACCACAACTGGACCCACAGCCACCCCAGAGGCTGCCCCACCGTGGAAGGAAGGAAAGGGCATCCCTGAGGCTGTGGAGAGCAACCTGCATTGCCCGGCTCAGAATCTTCCTGGGGATGCAGGGGGGATGCAGAGCCACTGTGCTCGGCCGAATGGTGTTTTCTCTTTTGTTTGTTTGTGTTTGTTTTTGTTTTTGAGGCGGAGTCTCGCTCTGTCACCCAGGCTGGAGTGCAGTGGCGTGATCTCAGCTCACAGCATATGCGATGGTTGGTACACAACAAAATCGTCAATACCAGACTACGTGGGAGGCAGAGACAGGAGAATCACTTGAACCCTGGAAGGTGGAGGTTGCAGTGAGCCAAGATCGCGCACTGCACTCCAGCTTGGGAGACAGAGCAAGACCCATCTCAAAAAAAAAAAAATTCTGACCAACTGAGAAGCAGAAATCATAGCATACTGCGCCCGTAGACCCATCACCCAGATTAAAACATAGACCCATCAC